TATGTTAAATTGAAGCTTAAAGATTCTAGTTTATGATGTGATATAAAAATGATAGGATAATATTATTGAAATTTCCAAGAAAAACTAACTAAAGAAGAAACTGTCAAATTTATAAATCAAAGAAAATACTAAATTTTCAAAAAATCATATTTACTGTGATTTTAAGAGTTATGATATGATATGTATGTTAAATTGAAGCTTATTTATTACATTTTTATGTAAAATGAACCATTCTCGGGATAATCGCTTGTCTCACTTTAAATGGACCACCCTGTATTAAGAAACTTGTGAAGAATTCAAGAATCAAAATGTGGCTTAAAAATCGACGATTTATTCTAATCAATGCGAAATAACCCAAAAAACAAGTTAAAAATTACTAACACTTAACACAACTAAGATGGCGTATATGTCAAAATTGACGTTGACGTTTCAACCCGGAAGTGATTGTATTTCCATTAATATTAAAGTTAAATATGTCGAGTTTGGACTCATTTTAAAGGATTTTTTATGAAGTTGACAAATATGTCAAAATTAAAAGTTTGAAATCTCTATAAACGTTAAAATGTCGCTTAGTCAAGTGATGATATAACAGTGGCTTTAGTACTTCAAATAATGTAAAGTTTTCTTTAATAAAATAAAATTTTACTTAAAGATATTAATTGTAATTTTTTGCGGTTTAGTCTAATTTTGAACATATTTCCAATCTTTAAAAAACAAGTGAGCCTTGACAGTGACAGAAAAACTTTTTTTGTGGCAGGTAAAATACTTTTTATGTTTACTGTACGTGAAAGTGTTACTAAGTTATTATTGATTTATTAAGTTATCTATAGATTTCCAACGGTATCCAGAGATTCAAAGAATTCACAAGTATTTCGAGATGATTTTCAAGAACTTCACCAAAAAAGTTATGATTTCCAAAAATATTAAACGATTCCAAATGTTTCTAGTTCTAGGTCTCATGTCAATCTAACGCTGAATTGCAATTAAAACTAGAACTAACACTATGTATATATAGTCTAGTGTTAGTTCTAGTTTTAGTTAAATGAAAAATATAGAAAAATTTAAAGTCCTTGATTTACGAATGGTATAGAAAACTCGGGGAATACCCCTAGTTTATCCATAACCATGGATTTAATGATTTTAAAGATAAAGGTAAAACACGTAACAGATTACATTGAAACTTCTGTACGCGTTTGAACATCGGATGGAGGATAACGAGCTCGTTCGATGGGGTAATTTGAAGTTGTGCGCGATATTAAACCGACGAACGGCCATTTACATTCATAATACGTCCGCTGGACGATTCAATTGAGCTCGAAGCCGAGATGGTTTTGTCACATTGTTATCTATTGTCCTCTTGCGATTGTTGTACGAGGCCATTTTCATGTAGATTGGACGCGGACCGGAATTGGCATGTTAAATTCCATTCTTCGATCAATCAAGGAAAGAAAATAAGTTTAAAAATGTTAAAACCGTGTCTTACTCGGGATGTAGAAAGGTAGTAAAAGAATTCGTTTGGAAGATTAGACGGAAACGCACATCTGCGCCCTCACAACGATGGCATGTTAAAAGCAGTAGAGGAAGAAGTTGGCACACAATGCGCCCGGCGCATTTTAAAAGTTCTCGGCGGCGCGGTGCCCCTTTGATTAGAGTTTCGGGCGACCGTCGTGCGTCGCATCCTTAGTTGACACATCCTTAGAAATTCTTTTCCATTCCTGCCAAGTCCACGGACGGGTTACTTTGGAAGAACCCCCGTGGGACTACGAATAAGCCGCGGGATTTCAAACGGACACAAAGAGCTTTAGTTTGCAACGTTTATTTTTCCGTTCAGAAACAATTTCGAATGGAACTATGTTAAGTTTTCGCTATTCAAAAATATTCCTTAACACTTCTTCCTTCTTTTTTAATCGTAAAAGATAGAAAGAGAGATTTTAGAAATAATATTAGCTACCAGCTGGGTCATAACATTATATGTCTATAATAACAGATTGTGCAATTTAAAACTGAAAAAATCCGTTACAGTATATTCATTTTAGGCATAATGATGTAATAATGATTTAATAACTACAACAACAATCTTGAAGCTAACAGCTTAAGTATACTAATCCCAGGAGTCAAGCGGTTGAAGCTTGCATTTTATGAATATTTGACGTGATTGCCGAAAAAACGGTTGTAGGCACTTTAGGCATAGTAATGAAGTATACTGAACCAAGGTCGCTGGCGAAAATGTTGAAACTAATAGCTTCTTAAGTATATCGAAAAGATAGAGGGCTACTTGTTTCTTGATGAATTAGAAAACTGCCTCTCCGTTGTATTGCCTGTGGTAGATAGAGTGATAATTTTTGGGGATTTGGAACATAAAGTTATATGAACGACTTCTTTCGCATCAATTTAGAAACACCCTGTATAATGGGATTGTCAAAAATGTTTTGTACACCTTAGACATAACCATTAAAGATAATGAGCCGAGGTTGCAGAAACGAAATTTTGATAATTTTATAGATCTATAATAGAGTTTGTAGGAAAAGAAGGAAGCTAACCACTGCTAAAAGCATTTTCTGGACAAATTTAGGAATTCTTTGTAAGTGGCGAAGATATGAGGATAAGGAAATCTTTGAATGATGATGATGATTCTGTGTTTCACGTTTATATCACAGTTCGTTCTAGAGATACAACTTTTTAAATTCTATTCTTCAAATCTACAATAATCAAACATGCAGAGTTGAGTTCAAAAAATCATAACAACTATATTTGTGGGAAATAAGACATTATTTATGGCACATTGAATACTCATGAAATTAGCTTTAAAATGTTCTTTGTTTCATCTTAATATCTCAATTCGTTTTTGAGATACAACTTTTTAAATTGTATTCGTCAAATCTACAATAATCAAATATGCAGAGTTGAGTTTAACAAATCATAACAACCATGTTTTTGAGATATAAGAAATTATTTATGGCACATTAAATATTCATAAAATTAGCTATAAAATGTTCTTTGTTTCATCTTAATATCTCAATTCGTTCTTGAGATACAACTTTTTAATGGTCAATGGTTAAAACCTCCAACGGCTTGCAGTTGATTTTGCAAAGACCCTAAAGCTGCTAGATCGTCTTTAATAGGATTTAGTAAAGTTTGTTTTCTTTTGAGAAGTATCGCTAAAATCTAGAATTTCTGGAAAGATGAAAAATCCAATTATAAACTCCACGAATGCGGTGCTAAGGAATTATGAATAAACTTTTAATTCAACTTTTAGTTTGCAACGTTTATTTATGTACTCAGAAACTATTCTCTACGCATTATCTTAAAATTATCTCAAACAATACTGTTTTATCAAACTTAAAAGATGATGTTGTTTGCATCGTAACCTTCTGGGTATTCTGGTTTTGGTAGAGGTTTAGTTTCCGGAATGATTTGGATTGATGGATTGCATGGTTCAGAGTCTTCTTCAACTTCAGGTTGGATTGGAAGAGGAAGAGGTTTAACAACAATATCATCGATTTGTGGAATAGCTGGTTTGGTTAAATCTCCAGGAACGAAGAGGTCTTCAACTTCGGGTTGGATTGGAAGAGGAAGAGGTTTCACAACGATGTTATCGATTTCTGGAATAGACGGTTTAGTCAAGTCTCCAGGAACGAAGAGGTCTTCAACTTCGGGTTGGATTGGAAGAGGAAGAGGTTTAACAACGATGTTATCGATTTCTGGAACAGCTGGTTTGGTTAAATCTCCAGGAACGAAGAGATCTTCAACTTCTGGTTGGATTGGAAGAGGAAGAGGTTTAACAACGATGTTATCAATTTCTGGAATAGCTGGTTTGGTCAAGTCTCCAGGAACGAAGAGATCTTCAACTTCGGGTTGGATTGGAAGAGGAAGAGGCTTAACAACAATATCATCGATTTGTGGAATAGCTGGTTTGGTTAAATCTCCAGGTACAAAGAGGTCTTCAACTTCAGGTTGGATTGGAAGAGGAAGAGGCTTAACAACGATGTTATCGATTTCTGGAACAGCTGGTTTAGTTAAATCTCCAGGAACGAAGAGATCTTCAACTTCTGGTTGGATTGGAAGAGGAAGAGGTTTAACAACGATGTTATCGATTTCTGGAACAGCTGGTTTGGTTAAATCTCCAGGAACGAAGAGGTCTTCAACTTCGGGTTGGATTGGAAGAGGAAGAGGTTTAACAACGATGTTATCAATTTCTGGAATAGCTGGTTTGGTCAAATCTCCAGGTTTGGTGTTAACGCATGGAGCGTCATCTTCCACATCTGGCACAATCGGCAATGGTTTAACTTCTGGAATTAATTGCCCAACTTCCGGAATCCATGGTTTGACAAAGTCCCCGGGGACAATGTTATTTTCTGGGACTTCCAAGACTGGTGGAATTCCAACAATCCCTGGACGTTGGATAGCATATCCATCTAACCCTAATCACCGAATTACGAGATGTTGCAAAATCTAACTTTGATTGCTAAATCATGATTATTTACCTGCAATGCAGAGAAGAGCGATAACAGCTACCTTGGTCATCATTATGATTTAGTTGCAACGTTCGAAGTAGAACTTCTACTGAAATAACGTTGCACATCTCGGTTTATATACAAAACTACTATCTATTAATGTGCATAAAAAATGTTTGATGGTACCCTAAAACTATTGTTTGAAATATTTGTCTTATCTCGTTTAATAATTGCAAATAAACCAGCCTTTTGTTACTTTGTAGTTGTAATTTGAAAACAATGCATACACCAAGTAAATATTGGGATGGAATATTTCAATTAGGCAGTGGAAAGGTCATTTTTGCGTCCGGGTGCAATTGCATTATTTCTGATGACAGGCGGAGCGTGTGACCATATTACGTGCTACGTCGACCGCATTTATTGGGCTCCACCACAACCGTCGGGTGTTGTACAGAGATTTATATTTTTTAGTTTAAGAATATAATAAAAATATTACATAAATAAAGTTGTTCTAAAATAATAGCTCTATAAAGGCATAAAATATATTACTCGTTAGATTTTATCAATAATTGGACCATGCAATAAACTAATAAAAAATCCACTAAAATATGATAAGCAAACGAAATTTTTTTCGGTATAAAAGCCACCTGAAAAAAATTATTTGTTCAATAGCAAAGTCAACAAAGATGAAAGTTATAATTCTAGTTTGCGCCTTAGTGGCGTCGATTAACGCCTTCACTCTAACGAGAGATGTCCCAAAAGATCTGGTTGCTCAAGTTTTACCAATCATTGATGGCGAGGCACCAATTGAGATAGAAATCGATAACCTTCCATCGATCACGCTCCCAGAATCCCCGACAGCTGAAACTCTTCCAATCGTCGATGGAGAATCCCCAATAGTCGAAGCCCCAACTGGTGAGAACCTCCCAATCATCGATGGAGAATCCCCAATTGAAGCCCCAACTGGCGAAAACCTCCCAATCATTGGTGGAGAAACCCCATCCTTAGAAATTGGAAACCTTCCATCGATTGGAGATTTATTCCCGATTGTAGAAGAAATTGAAACCTCAGTACCAGAAAACCCCATCATCCACGGCGGAGAATCCCCAACCATCGAAGTCGGAAATCTCCCATCAATCGGAGATCTCTTCCCCACCTTAGGAGGTGGCCAAATTGGAAACTTGCCATCGATTGATTGGGATCTCTTCCCATGTGTACCCATCGAAGAAATTGAACACCCTGTAGAAATCCCAATTGAAATTAACCCAAACCCTCTCCCACTCCCAATCGACCCCGAAATTGAAATCAACCCAAACCCCCTCCCACTCCCAATCGACCCAGAAGATGGAAACGTTGAAATCAACCCCAACCCACTCCCACTTCCAATCGAACCAGAACACCCAGAAGTCGAAATCGAATACATCCCCGAAATCCCAATCGAAATCAACCCAAATCCACTTCCTCTTCCAATCGAACCAGAAGATGGAGGATCCATTGGAATTAATCCAGTCCCTCTTCCACTTCCAATCGAACCAGAACACCCAGAAGTCGAAATCGAATTTATCCCCGAAAATCCCATCAATGTTAAACCACAACCTCTCCCACTTCCAATTAACCCAATCGAACCCGAAGTTGAAATTGAATGGGTACCAGAACCTGAAGTTCCAGAAATGCCAGAAATCGAATGGATGCCAGAACCCGAAGGTGTAAATCCATCTTTACCCAACCCATTGCCACTACCACTTCCACTTGAACCAGAAATGCCAGAAATCGAATGGTTGCCAGAACCAGCCCCAGAACAAACACTCCCACAAGTTTTACCCCTTCCAATCAGGCCAGAAATTGAATATATTCCAGAGCAAGATATTGATGGTTATGAAGCGGGATATGATGGTTCCAACATCATCTTTTAAATTGTTTTATTGAAGTAAATTGTGTATATTGAACAAATATAATTAAAAAAAATAATGTTTTATTGAATGCAAGAAAATATAATTTTTATTATTAACCTTTGTTTTTATATGATAACCTTTAAAAAGTGAAAACGTGCTAAAATACATAAAGATACAACGATAATTAACTTGAAACCTTTTTGTACTCAATTGAACTAAAAATTGAAGCTAGAATTAAATCTCTCACTTCCAATCGATCCTAAGGTGAAATTAATCTAAACACCTTCACTTCCAATGGACTCAGAAGATGGAATTAACTCACTTCCACTTTTAACGAGAACACTAAAAGGTAGAGTACTAGAAATTCCAGAAATTGAATGGATGCCAAAACGAGAAGGTGTATTTATAACCACTACGATTGAAAGTCAACCAATTGAACTGAAAATGTCAAAAATCGAATATCAGCAGCAGAGAAAACATAACCACACGTTTTTACCTCTCAGAGTAGCCGAAATCTCTCATTGAAGGATTCCAATAATGAAACAATATACAATTAATAACACCAAGTGACTCATAATATCAGAAAAATCGTACCTGATGTCATCATTGAAAGTATGCAACCAATATCACAATATGCGTCTTGCAATACCAGTATTGTGATATTGGTTGCATACTTTCGATGATGCGGTCGGGTACGATAATTAATGAACACACTGTAGATCTCTTTGATCTACTTTGAAACCGTTTCGAGAAAGCGAGATAGGTAGAAATTATAAGAAGCATCCAGAAAATTGCGGTCAGAACAATGACATCTTGTGATTTAATACCGAACTGGCACTAATTATTTTTAATTACGCTTATGTCAGAGTTGTAGGTTCGTAATTGGAAATCTTCCATCAAACGGAGATCTCTTCCTCATTATAGAAAGAGACAATATCGAAAATTTGCTATCTATCGATTGGAATCTCTTCCTTTGCGTACTCAATTGAACCAGAAATTGAAGCAGTAGATATTGATACCTGTCTGATGTTATTCCAATAATCTACAACTATAAGACAATTTTCACGTGTTAGTCTTCTCTTTCTATGCTTGTTCTTACGTTTGGAAACTGCAGTCTATCCTTATCCTGTTTCTCTAAGTTTTCTTTGTCTTTATGTGCACTATTCTTGCACAGATATCTGAATTTTGGTTGCACAAGATAATGGTTTAAGCCATAGCTACTTGCTTTTGCCTGTCATAATATAGCACATTTGGTTTACTGCTCTTCCATCCAGTGACATACATGTTGTATTTAATATATCCATTTATAGCTTTCTACGTCTATGACATTCCCAGCAACCTTATGTACATAACCTTGAATGGCATGATGTAGCATCATTGCATATACAGGGTGTCCCGTTAAGCGTACGGAGCGGCTGTATCTCTAGAACGGTAAGGCCTAGAGGTTTGGGAAAAAAATCCTTATAAGCAAAGTGACCAAGAGAAAAAGCTGGAAATTATTTTGAAGTTCGTAATTCGACCGCTAGGGGGCGTAACTGCCATTGAGAAACATAAAGTTCCCACTATCTCAGAAACTTAGACGATGAGCTATAACTTTGACAACATCATTTAATAACTTGGATAATACCGCATCACTTTTGTTTTGCGATATTTCTCATATCTGTCATAATAAGGGAGGGGGAGGCCAATGCGTTTTCATATGTTTACATTTTAATATCTCCTAGACCATTCAACCGATTTGAATGTTTTCGGTATTGTTTGAAAGAGCATTTTATGCTGTTTTTAAAGATATTTTGAGTAAGGCCGTCTGCTTTAAAACAAATGAGCTAGAGGACGTAATCTGCAGCGATTACATATTTTTGTGATTTTTGAAGAAAAGTTAAATGGAACGATACTNAGCCACCTAAAACAAATAATCAACAACTGGGAGGCTTCAAAGATAGCCTTACGCTGGAAAGAACTTCCAGGTCACAGACAAGCGAAGAGTATGATAACTCCGTCGCAAAACAAAACCAAAGAGGTTTTATGCCTCAGCAAAGGGGATCTAAGAACCACTAAAATACGACAGGTTGTTAGCCGTTTGTCCCTCGAGAATGCGTACCAAAAAATGGACTGTAAGATTTATTAGTCATTTGATTGACTTGTCCGTTGTTAATGCCTGGATAAAGTATAAAGCGGATCAAAAGCTGCAAGGAACACATTCTCACAAAATAGTTCAACTACGTGCTTTTAAGCAATCAGTTGCAGAGGAGATACTAGATCATTACCTGCTTTCAGAAAATGAAATTCTACGCATAATTGCTGGATCGGTTGACGTGCTGGAAGAAATCACCAACACTTCAAAAAGAGGTAGACCACCAGTTAAAGCAATCCCCTCAAATGCTTTCCGACAATACGGTACCCTTCACTTACCTGCTATGAGATCCTCACAACATAGGCGCAGGCAGAAGGGCTGTGTGATGAAGACTATTGTCTATTGTAAAGCTTGTGATTTACCTTTGTATTTTACTGCAAAAAGAAACTGCTTTGCAGATTTCCACACAGATTCCTAATTTACTTAGTAATTTTTGTCAAAGCTCAATGCCAAAAATACCAATTAAAATTAATAAGAAATAGTATAAGAATGTTATTGTTATTGCTACATTTGATTAAATAACTTGTATAAGTGAAGTTTCCGTCAGATTAAATATTTAAAATATTTGTTTTCATCGTTTTATGATTAATATGCGATGGAAATAAAAACTTGTAAACCAATAAAAAACTGTTCTTTCCCTTATAAAAATGCTTTCTTACTTAGTATACACACTAAATAAGAAAGCATTTTCAACATACATAGAGACCGAGTGTTCTTTACAAAGAACAAAAATATGGACAATTTGACTTGGTGCAAATATATCTTCTCTTCGTTATGAACAATGTTTGTTTTAACAAAAAAAAATGTAGCAATTTATAGAATGAATTAAAACGTTCAGGACTCAATGAAGATATTTATTTTTGTTCTTTATAAAGGACATTCGGTCATAATGATATCACCTAGCTCGCAATACCCAGGACTCAAATAAGAACGCCATTTTGTGCTTTGCGTAGGCACCTAGGACTTAGGAGGATATAAGAAAATGTTAAAACTTCGAGTGCCATCAATCGGATCCAGTTACCTTATCGAGGAAAACAAATCGCATAACTATGGTAACTGTAAATATGTCATTTACTAACGCAGAAGCGTATGATAGAGCGTATGATGATTTACTTTCAATGTTTCGGATACGATGCAATTGCATGACAAAAATGTGCAATGCAATTACGACAAAGAAAGACATTTTTCTGTAGAAGTGTTTTTAAAATTGACTTAGCGATTACGGAAAATTGGCAACATGTAGCCTATTCAGACATCTCTATGAATTGGTGCGCAATGCGTTATGTTATTACAGCATTCCATGTTTCCCTCTTCGTTTACCACCACACCAGGTATTTTTTACACACAGCTTGGATGATACGTATTATTTAACTTCTTTAAGACACCTTTCATGTTTACAAACTATTATTGCCGGACTTTTAACCTGCGGCGCCATGTTTTAGTCATGTTTAATTTTGTTGTCATGTTTAAAAAAATTATTAGGATGCATTTAATCCTCATAAATTTATAATCCTAGTTGATCGAGGCAATATATAATGCTCGTCTGTGTAACCTATGTAACCTAGCCTACGAATTTAATGTCAAAATTATCAAATATCATGGAAATTAAAGAGCGCCTACAAGCTGAGAGGAGTAGATCAACACTACTACACCACAAAGTCATCATCTGCAGCTATACCTACTTCTTCTGTAGCAGCACTAGCAGCATTTAGCTTTCTGATCAGTTTAGTCAGTATATTTCAGCAAGAATCTAACACTTTATAGACACTATCTGTCTTGTAACAACAACATTTCATCTTTAGTAAGCAATCTTTAGAACATTGCCAACAGTTTCTAGTTAATTTCAGCCATAGTCTAAAATTGTATAGGCAGTATCTGTATTTAATCCTCTGCAAGCAGTTTCTAGACTATTTTAAGCTAAATATAGCAGTATCCATCATTTGCCAACAATATTTAATCGTATAGAAGCTGTTTCTAGACTAGCTAATATTTAGTCTTCTGTAAACAGATTTACTAATTTCAACCAACCGTATAAGGTCATATTTAGTAGCAGGGATGATTGGGCGAAAGGAGGGCCTCAACTAAAAAGAGGAGCCCTAGCCTGGTACACCGATGCTTCAAAGACANGGGACACCCTGTACATGGTGAATACTTCATACTTTGTTTAATAATGTATTTGTAGTGTGGCTGGCCGCGAGTTATTTTATTATGTATAGAAATTGTATAAAGGAAAATCCTTTCAACATTTCAAACTATGTATTTCGATCCAATACGATAAAGTACCATTTTGTAATGATTATCAAAATACACCGCGTAATAATCAACACAAACCCAACCCCAAATAGAACCGTTGCTCAACTAAAGCAATAGAACTGGTTTTATGGTCCTATGCATCATGCATAAAGAGGAGTAGAGGATGGGGCGAATGCCGTCCACCCGTTTCGGGGGCGCTTCAGATATCGCGGTGTCAACATTACAACGGGCCTGGCTAATAAATACCAACCCCGGAGTACAATCGATAAGTACGTACGCCGCCGTTCGAATAAATTGGGCCGTCGCGTTACCAATCCAACCCCTCGTCGCCCCCGTTCGCTTTGCTTTACCGGAAGGTCCATTGTGCCCGGGATTCGGGGGCCCAAACAACCCCCAGGGCTCGACATTCCTGTCTCGTGTCGAGCAATTGAATTATCCCGTACACGGTTTTCTCATTTTCTAGATCGACGAATGATTGTTGAACTTCGAACAAGAGAGTTTATTTGCCCTTTATTCACCCCATTTTTTTTTGCTAAAATTTTATTTTAGTGGGGAAAAGTCTGTTTCGTTGGCGGATGGTTAGTTAAGAGGGATTTAAAGTGTGCTCACGTTCTGCAAATGAAAGGAAGCACCA